AGCCCAGGAATTTAAGTCCAGACTAAGCAAAATACTGAGAACCCCATCTCTTAAAAGAAAAGACTTAAAGAGAGGTTTACTGAAGGGGGTGAGGGAAGATTCTTGAATAGAAGCTCAATGGTGTTCTAGAATAATCCCTCCTTTCACTCTGAACATGGGTAATAAAGCATACAGTTCAAAGAGATAAAAAGTACACAATTCACTCTTATGACCACAAGGGGAAGGCAAGTGGATAAAGAAAGCTAAGCGAAGAAGGAGGAAGAAACCAGGTTCTTGATGAGCTAAACACCATGCTGCCTATTACTAACTCAGTAAGTCAGTTTTTTTTTTTTTTTTTTAAAGACAGTCTTACCCTGTCACCCTCAGTAGAGTGTGACAGATCACAGCAACCTCCAGCTCTTAGGTTTAGGCGATTCTCTTGTCTCAGCCTCCTGAGTAGCTGGGACTACAGGCGCCCAGCACAACGCCTGGCTATTTTTTTCTTGCAGTTTGGCTGGGGCTGGGTTCAAACCCACCACCCTTAGTATATGGGGCCGGCATCCTATCCAGTGAGCCACACACACCGCCATTAAGTCAATTCTTTAAGTCAATATGTTAAGTGCAACCAAACTTGTCTTAAATGATATTATTTCTAACAATTAAAACCACTCATGATAAATAAAAGTACAGCAGCACATGCATATGGGTGGAAAAGCACTGAATTTTAAGTGAGACGCCTGAGGTTCTATTCTTGGTTGACAGTAATGATAAGTGCAATCATGAACAAATAAATCATTTCATCTTCCTAGGCTTCAAGTGTTTTTTATTTTCAGAATTAACATTTTGGTTATATAAATTGTTTTTGTGCTATTTGAGTCAAAGTTGTGAGTATGCCCATCACCCAGATAGCATGCACTCTACCTGTTGGGGTGAATTTAGCCCCACACCACCTATTTGAATATGTGTACTTACATGTTAATTGATTAGTTCCAATTTAATAGTGGTGTTTGTTTTTCCATTCTTGTGATACTTCACTTAAAAGAATAGTTTCTCTGGAGAACACTGAGAGAACTAAAAATAGACCTG